ACTCTCTCTCTCTCTCTCTCTGACACACACACACACACACACACACACACACACACACACACACACACACACAGAGTGGAGGCGCATCAGACAGGTGACGTGCCCGTGCCACCTTTTTTCCTCCTTTTTTTATAAGCATTGTTGCTGGGCCTCAAAGAGGAGGGGGGCAAAGATGATATGGTGGGGTAAGATGTCGACACAGGGGAAGAAAAGGCGGGCCAAAACGACTTGAAAGATGTTGACGTGGGGGAAGAGGAGGACAAAGATGGCTTGGCAGGGGAAACACGATGAGGATGAGGAATACGGCGAGTAGGGGGAAAACAAGGAGGTGGGGGAAGATGAGGCAGGAGGATTAGACAAGAGGGAGAGAGAAGATTAACAGGATGGGGAAGACGACATGGAGACTGCCCGCCTCCACAGTGTGTCCTGTTTGTGTCTTCCAGCTACGAGGTTGGTTGAAACCCCCGGCGCAGTGAGGACCCTTTTTCGTTTTCAGTTTTTCAATTGCCGGGCGAATCCGGGCACCGCCCCCCCAATCCGGATGGTAAGGGTCTGGCCTGTCCGGATGTCCAGATCCTCTGTGGAAATCTGGATGTTCCGGAGCAATCAGGACCGTGGTCCAGCCGGATGTCCGGATCTGTCTGGTGCCAGGGCCTGGCACAACCATCATAAAAATTGATTGCCAATCAATGACAGAGTCTAGAAGAAGGAAGAAGGCAAGCACTTCAGACCCCAAGGCACAAATAGGGAAATGCAGAACACATACATCAGCATGTTTCATCGCCTCTTCATTCCCTGCTTACTTCATTTCAATCACACATTTCATCAATTTTCATGTATTTTAAAGTTTAAACTATTTTTTGAACTATTTTAATTTCCATTTCATTTGAAAGCTACGAACGATACCTTTCCCCGGTTACCCGTCAACAAAGTGTTACATTGAAAGTCAATTCTTCGCTGCAATCGTTTTGCGTGGGAGCCCCAGCATCTGTGGCAGCCTCTTGCTGTCCAGCCAGGCAATGTCCCGGGCCAGGTCACGGCCAGGTCCGCGCAGTCTCATTGGAAAATAGAAATGCTTAAGAAAACTTCGGGGGAAATAAAGCCGTGTGACAGTTTTGTAGAATCCAACCCAAACAACTTTGGCTGAGGGTTCCCTCCGAGTTCCTGGTTGAATTGAAGATAACAAAAAAAAAATAAAAAAAATCAGACTGAGGGACATGTCTCTCAGCCCCTCTAAACCCCTTTGAACCCATTTACAGTCCCCTTCCGTGCACGGAAGACCCCCTCGGTGAGTCATCTGGCTCCCTGGTGTGGTGTCTTGAGTAACGTAACCTAGTTTAAAACTTCAAACTTTGAACTCCAATGTTTCCACTTTCCAATTTTATTTCCAATCTTAAAACTTAAAAGTTAAATCCTTAACTGAGAGACTTCATTTCATTCTGATTGCACTTGACGATGAGGGCAGAAGAAGGATACCTTCCTTCCCAGGAGGTGGGTTGGGCATGGGGTTGGTACCTTACCTTTCCTTCCCAGTTGGTGCAGGTCCTGTGAAAGAGGGCGTTCATCTCTGTGTAGAAACGAAGACGAGAGAATAAGGAGGCTGCGCGTCAGTTAAATAAAGATACATCATACATATATTATATATATGATATATCGTCAAACAGTGTATATATTTCTGTAAAACTACTAAAAAGTGTTTCACAACCAACAAACCAAGTCAAGGTTGAATCTCAGACTTTAATTAAATAATAAACAAGTCCTAGACCTCACAGAATTCCATCAACTGCCTGCAGTTTCTTATAACCTAACAAAATTTTGGAGTCCAAACGACTGAAGGTTGGTTAAAAAAAATTTAACCACCAGCAGTTCAGCCGAAGCTAAGTCGGCCTCTTACAGGTATATGCTGCTGTAAGCTTGTGCAAAGCCTGTAAGGGAATCCTGCTTAGGCCTCGCAGACTCAAGGGGGGTATGCGGGGGGTGTGCAAAATTCAGAGTCCGACTTTGGAGGTTTCTAATTCTTATTTCCAGCTACGAAAATGGTTTGGTCCATGAAAAAATATGAACGCCAAACTGAGTCCGACACATGAAATATGCTGAACTGGAGGTTTAAACTTTAAAGGGGGTATGCAGGGGGTGTGCGTGTTTCGGACAAAACTGATGTGACTCCTTGGAAGGGGCGGGGGGATCAGTTTGCAGTAACTTTGCACACATAGGCTCGGCTGAACTGGTGGTTGAAACTTTAAAGTTTAAACTTTAAACACATGGAAGTGAATGAAATCACCTCTCCTAGCGGGGAGGATGGTTTGGTTAAACAAGAACCTAAAAAAAAAAAAAAAAAAGGAGAACCAAAGAGAGAAAAACACAGTAGCAATGTAGCACAGAGTTTGTTCAAACCTGAAACTGCAGTTAAAGAGTGGTAGCCTAGGTTAGGCCATACTTTCTGCATCCACTCTTCAGAAATCTTCGCACCAAGAAGAGATTTTTAAAATTTAAAGCAATTTTAATACACTATTATTTAAACTTGTTTTAGACAATATCAGAATATCTTTTATTCCAGAATCCGTTTCTGAATTTGTTAGTTTGTCTTTTCGTTAATTTCCGGGACTGCACGGGCACCCACCTGAACCTGGCCAAGTTGGAAACGTGCCCTCGGTGCGTATCCAGGGGCAGCCAGATCCAGCCAGATCCAGCCTGGGAAGCCCAGCGGAGAGCCTGCCGGAAACCCAAAAAACTCGTTTTTTTTAAAGGGGAAGGGGGTGGGGGCGGCTTACAGAGAAGGGATGATGAGAATACAACGGGGCCAACAGGTCTAGCTCAGTTGGTACACCCATGAACTGTTGAAATACAGACCAGTGTTTGAATCCAGATGCAACCAAATGAACAGAATAGGGAGAACAAGATGAGCCCACACAGCTTTGCCCACGTTAATCGGGGAGTCTTGTTGGATTATCGAGAGTTGGTAAAGCAGTAGAAACAAAGAGGAAATCGTGTTAGTGGACTTCGTGTCAGTAGCGGATGGTGGAGGATGCGCCTCCGCCCGCGAGTAGTATGGAGGATGATGCAATGACTTGGTGCGAGAGCCGAAGGGTGGGTGGCAGATTGGCAGATAGTAAGGAAATGACGAAGTTAAAGGTGACATGCAGGAATTGTCGGGGGGGTGGAGAATGTAGTACAACGAGCATTTACACGTAACCGGGCAAATAAGGGCGGAAGAAGAATGAATCATGACAGCAAAGAAGAAGACAATCTAGAACTCCAGATGCAGGGGTAGGAATTTCCGGAAGAGGGGTTCCTTGCCAGGTCCACAGAGAGAGCAACGTGGTTGAGAGAGTCGGAGAGAGAGTGTGAGTGCGAGAGAGAGAAAGGGACACAGTGAAAGAGGAGCCTCTCTCTCTCTCTCTCTCTCTCTCTCTCTCTCTCTCTCTCTCTCTCTCTCTCTCTCTCTCTCTCTCTCGCACACACACACTCTCACTTTTGTGAGTTCCCTCATTCAGCAAATGCTCTCTCTTGCACACAAGCTCTCACTTTTATGAGTTCACTCATTCAGCA